GGGCCACGCCCCCCCCAGTGAGGAGGCTCCCGCACAACACACAGACACACACAGACACACAACCAACAGACAGGAACAGACAGGAACAGACACACAACCAACAGACAGGAAAAGACACTAACAAACACGGAAACTGACACTAACAAACACGGAAACAGACACACAACTAACAGACAGGAACAGACACACACAGACACACAACTAACAGACAGGAACAGACACACACAGACACACAACTAACACACAGAAACAGTTACACAACTAACAGACAGGAGCAGACACACACATACAGACAACTAACAGACAGGAACTGACACAAACAGACACACAGACTCATATAAACAAATACAAAAAGACAGAAACACACAACAAACAGACAAGAACAGACAGGAACAGACACACAACTAACAGACAGGAACAGACACACACAGACACACAACTAACAGACAGGAACAGACACACACAGACACACAACTAACAGACGGGAACAGACACACAACTAACAGACAGCAACAGACAGGAACAGACACACAAACACACAACTAACAGACAACAAACAGACACACACAGACACACAACTAACAGACAGGAGCAGACACGAACAAACACGGAAACAGACACACAACTAACAGACAGGAACAGACACACACATACAGACAACTAACAGACAGGAACAGACACACACAGAAACACAACCAACAGACAGGAACAGACACACAACTAACAGACAGGAACAGACACACACAGACTCATATAAACAAACACAAAAAGACAGAAACACACAACAAACAGACAGGAACAGACAGGAACAGACACACAACTAACAGACAGGAACAGAAACACACAGACACACAACTAACAGACAGGAACAGACACACAAACACACAACTAACAGACAGAAACAGACACACACACACAGACAACACACTAACAGACAGGAACAGACAAGCAACTAACAGACAGAAACAGACAACTAAAAGACAGGAACAAACACACACAGACAGAAACACAAACAGACACACAGACACACAGACACACAACAAACAAACAGAAACAGACACACAAACACACAAAAGACACAAGCAGACACACAAACTCACAACAAACAGACAGAAACAGACACACAAACAGAAACAAACACACAACAAACAGAAAGAAACAGACACAAAGACACAACAAACTGACATAAACAGACACACAACTAACAGACAGGAACAGACACACACAGACACACAACTAACAGACAGGACTCTGCTCTGTGCTGGTTCAACCGCCAAAAGTTCCCTTCACATTCTGACCTCCTGAGCCAAAACTATAAGAGCCATGAAAATTATGTTGATAACGTGAGCGCCTGGAGACATTAAGGAACGCGTGGCTGCTTTTAATTTTTAAATTGGGCCAGAATTGTGCCAACGGGAGCGATTTCAAAATATGATACTTTTTTGGTCTCTTCCAGTTTTCGGTCAGCTTTTAACATTAAGTTTCCAGGTAAAAGCTGAAGGATACCTCTGACTCTGAAGGTCACAGCTCAAAATCTAAAAGC